AAAAAAAAAAAATGGCTATAGCACAAAATGTGCTTCTGAAGATATTTTACGGCAACACTTTGGCTAAGTTCCATTTCCTTGAAAGCATTTTATGTTGCTTATCAGTCATAATGTGAGACAGTCCTGCTTAGTCTGTAGCCTGATATAGTAATGGTGGACTTATGTGAAGTCTTCGGCCCTTATATATGTTTGGTTCAACAGAGGGGAAATGACGAACTTTAATGGAAAGGAAGTGATGTAAAATAATTTTACTTTGCTTAGATGAATTTTACGGGAGGAGAGGCAAATAGCAGCAGAATTTGGAGCAATCACCATTGTGCTTCTGTTCTAACCCATTCTTGATCCGTTGTGGCTTACCTGCCAAAGGAGGGGCCCTAAAGGTCCACCTATCAAGACAAGAGGATTCTGAGATCTCAATTTGAGTTAGCCTTTGATTGCTCCCTTGTCAAATACTCCGAGATTGCTAGTTGTCAACGTAGTTTGGTTAGAAAATGAAGGGCCGGAGAACATCATATACTCCGAGATTGCTAGTCTCGCTTGTCAAATACTCCGAGATTGCCACTCGTCAACGTTGTTTGGTTAGAAAATGACGGGCTGGAGATCATATACTCCAAGATTGCTAGTGCCAACGTCGTTTGGTTAGAAAATGAAGGGCCGGAGAACATAATATGAAAGAGATTATTTTACCCTTAGTGATATAAAAGATTAAAAAAATTAAATAATAGAAATATTAAAGCATAATGGTAATTTGACCTCATAAATATTTTATCCTCTCCTCCCCTCCAAAAAAACCAAACAAACAAGGTAATTTTGTAAGTTCTCCCCTCCCCTACATTCCCCTCTACCAAACCACCCCTTAGGTATTAGCAATGGTTAAGGAAAAAATAAAAATATGGAATTTTGCCTACTGTATAGAACAAATTAAATGGTTAGGCAAATAGGTTTATCATATTCTTTTAACTTTAATATAAAATATCATTTATTTTTGTTTTTTAAAATATAATGCTTCAATTTAAAAGTATATATAGTTTCATTTTTTTATTTTATTTTTTTTAAAGCAACTAACATGATATATTACTTCAAACACTTAGTTACAAGGCTAATCAAGAAAATCACCCTTTTCCCAAACAAAGTGGGAGGTGTGAAAAGAAAAAAGAAAAAGAAGAAGAAGAAGAAATAGCATACGCCACATGATTGGCTAATCTAGAAACGTGATAAATAAAACAATTTGCCGAGTCATCTAATATCACTTAAATTCAGCTGCAATCACTTCACAATACCTTGACAAACTCCTTAGGTTTTGTAACTGCTTGTACAACACCTATGGAGTCTGTTTTCCAATGGAAGGAAATAAATTCTTCTCTTTATCAATTTTGATCCCTTCAATGATAGCAAGTAGCTCTCCTTTAGCACCGAATTAATGTGCTTCATTTTTCGACCAAACACCAGCTTCGGTTCGGTTGCCCCATCGAGTCTCGAAAAATTCCACCAACGGCAAAAATGCCCTTTATGTCATCCCATGAAACATGCACATCCAGTCTCCACACTCCATCTGGCTGGCTTCCTCCATTTGATATCACTCCGAGTGCCTACCCCACTCTCGAGGCCTTTAATCGAACTCATTATTTTTTGGAAACAGTCAAGTACTGCATTACCATGTTTAAGGACTTCTCGTTACCAAAATCACAATCATTAGAGTGAAGTCTCTTTTGGCTTTCAACCCACCAACCCGGTAGCAAAAATAGCGAATTCCGCCTCGTCAAAATTATGCTTCATCCAAAGACAACAATGAAGAGTATGACCATCGACAAAAGATGATTATTGTGTGGGATTAAGGTAATTACTGTGTGGTTCCAATCTTCAAGAGATGCACCTTCATTTAGGATACGCAACACGCCATTCGTAACATCATCCCTAATTATATTCCAGAATTTCTGAAAGAGAACTCCATGAAATCCGTCTAGTCCCGGAGCCTGCTCGGAGCCTAATTCAAACACTGATTCTTTAACTACTTCCCGAGTAAAGGACGCACACAATTTGTCATTCATCTCTTGAGTAACTTTAGGCTCAACACATTTGGTCACAGCTTCTATATCACACTGAAGAGGATTAGAAGAGAGAGAATCTTTTCAAGTAGTTGGTATTAACCTCATTCAAACTCCGGCTCGACGTACAAAAGTCTCCCTGATTAGAGACTAAGCCTTTAATTTTATTAGCAGCTATACGGATTGAAGCTTTCGAGTGGAAGAGTTTGGTATTTTTATCCCCCATGAGACATCCAGGTGGCTCTCCTTCTCTGTTTTCATCCAGCACTTCTCTAAAAGCCGACATTTGTGCACTCGGTCTCGGATTACCTGAGATGATAGGACCTCCATTGCGACGATTGCAAAACTTGTTTTTTTTTAAGGTATGGCGGTTTGGTCATTTTCCATCTCCAACATTCTTCATCCTCATACTGCCCCGAACATTGTAACATCATATTTTGATCTTCTTTTCCTTTAGTTCGACTGTAACATGTTATCTCAGTTCTTCCTTCCCCATTTGACCCATTCTCCCTGTTTTAGAGTCCGTTTCTGTAACCATTTTGTAATTGTCAATCTCCTTGAAGGGTATAATTATCGTCTCATTTCTCTTCGTCATCCCCTCCTCCGAGCATGCTCGAGTACGAGCTATAAATCATAGTTTCTTTTTAAGATTGCATCGTTAATCATTGTACAAGCAGATGAATACGAGCACAAATTAACAGCTATTTACAAATCATTCCTGTCAAACATGATTATAATAACATATCCATATTTGAATCTCTCATAATTTTCTCTTATAGACTACTCAAAACTTTTTTCTGAATATGTTCTGAAATTATGGATATGGTTTTTATTTTAAATCCAGCAATTATTCCAAATAATATATATACATATATCAAAATGAAAACAATTCAACAAAAACTAAATATTTTCATTGAATCTCAAAATAACATTTCAATTCCAAATCCCATCTTCACCCACATAACATAAAACCCAAACTACGTACAATCACTTAAAACCCTAACAAAAGCAAGCATAAACCCCACTAAAATTGTTCCTCAAGCCTTCTTGGGAGACTTGGCTGCCTTCTTGGGCGATTTTGCAGCTTCCGTAGCCTTCTCCGATTTCTTGGGCAGAAGAACGGGGTTGATGTTGGGGATAACTCCGCCGTTGGCTATGGTGACTCCGGCCAGAAGCTTGCCGAGCTCCTCGTCGTTCCTCACAGCAAGCAACAGATGCCTCGGGATTATCCTGCTTTTCTTGTTGTCCCTCGCCGCATTCCCAGCCAATTCCAGCACCTGCAAATCAAAAATTTCAATTTTCATACGGCTGGTGCAACAAAAGATCTAAAAATTTTCATAATTACTCCAAAACCTAATCAACAGATTATCGGATAAAAAAAATGGATCGAAACGTGGAATAATCGAACCAGACAAAATGGAGAAATTAACCAAAAGGGGAGTAAAGGCGAAATCTTTACCTCAGCCGCGAGGTACTCCAGCACGGCGGCCATGTAAACTGGAGCGCCGGTTCCCACGCGCTGGGCGTAGCGTCCCTTCTTCAGGTACCGGCCAATCCTGCCAACCGGGAACTGGAGGCCGGCCTTGACGGACCGTGCAACCGGCTTCTTCTTCGGGCCGCCGCCCTTCCTTCCTCCGGCTCCTTTCTTCACCTTGGAATTGGGATCCATTTCTGTGTGTGTGTGTGAAAGAGAGAGAATGTATATGCTAGTGTGTGTGTGTGAGTAAGGGAGAAAATGGTTCGTGCAGAAGTTGCAGGTTCATGGTGATGATTAAATAGGTGTGGGGATAAAATGGTGGGTGAATGTGGAGCGTCGGATTGAGATTTATCGACGGTTGAGAGGGGACACTCGGTCGATCCGCGTCGTATGAGATGGACCAATCAGGGACGAGCTTTACCAAAAGTGTGAGAGGGAATTTTCATTCTTTCCCAAAGAGCGGGTAATGTAAAAATTGAAAACAAAAACATCTGATTGAAATTTTCATTTTGAAGAAAAAAATCTCACATATACTGTAGTAGATAAAATATTATATTCATTTTTAATTTTACTTTTTTTCTTTCTTTCTATTTCATATGTTTGAGACAAATATTTGATTTAAATATAATATTTTTCATAAATTTCGTTTGTATGATAGAATAACATTTATTTAGTTGTAGGGTCTTATACCTTTTATGTAAAAGGTTGATATTACTATAAAATATTATATATTTAATATAAATATTGCATTTGGAATTATGATATATTCAAACTAAAAATTGTGTATTAATTGAAAATATATTTATTTATCAATCAATTGGGTCTCTGGACTAATTGGACTATAAAGGTGCTCAACTTATTTATCAACAATCAGCGACCCTAAATCGAACCGAGCAAATTGAGCTAAGCTAATAGTTCAACAAATTACGTAAAAACTCTTTTTTCTCGAGCCAAACCAAGATCAACTCGTTTATCAGACGAGATCAAGTCTTAACGAGTCATGTTTCACTCTGAATTTGAAAAGTGGGTATTTGGTACAATATGGATGTGGGTGTGACTAGTTTTTGTGATTGGAACATGATTACATGATTAGTTTTATATAATATTGATATAGTCTACCGATCGCGTGGAATGGTGCAATAATATTTCTTGTTTAATTAGATCCGAGATCGATTATGGTATTGCCAATCTTTTATTCGAATAATGATCACCCATACAGGCAAGGAGAAAACTTAAAGTTCCCAGGTTTCAGTAGGTGTTAAGATGCCCTCACGAGTTGAATAAGACATATTCCCATAAACCGACGAATGAAGTGTGTCAGACATAGCTACTGATCCATTCGTTGTCCCCCTAAGCCGATAAATGATGGGGTTTTCAATTGCATGTGATTGTGTGAACAACTGTATTTTTTTATATATGTTTATTCGAGTGTGGTTTTAAGATAATTTTTATTTTTTAACTTTGTTATGATGGTTGTGCAAACACGGTATTCGGATGTGGGATTTTGGCTATAAACGTTGTTTGGATAATGTAAACATTTATTTATGCAGTTTTTTTAGTATGAAATAGCTTCAAATCTCGCAATATTTAAAAATAAAAAAACACTGCACGTTAGAGATAACTGATAAGGCTCAAACAGTTTGGTCATGTTTGATGTTCCACCGTGAGTGAATAATTGGATCTCAAATGGTTTGGTCATGTTCGATGTTTTAATTAACGTGAGTGAATAATTTTATCTCGAACGGTTTGATCATGATCCATGTTTCACCGTGAGTGAATTATTTTATCTCAAACGGTTTGGTTATGTTCGACGTTTTCACTGCGAGTGAATAACTTGATCTCAAGTGGTTTGGTCATGTTCGACATTTCACAGTGAGTGAATAGTCGGATCACAAATGTTTGTTCATGTTCGACATTTTATCATTTGAGTGAATGATTTGATCTCAAGCGGTTTGATCGTCGAATAAAATGCCACTCCTCCCATTATATTCTTGTGTGAGGAGTCATATGTGTAGTTTTTTTCTCTTATCGGGTAATCCTTTATGCAGACATCATCGCATGGGGAGATCGTGATGTTTTGGCAACCATACGCTCCTACTTGATCGGCCGTAAGGCAAGCCATTGGATCGACTTGAGTATTTTTTCCTTGATATGAAAGTGCAAAGGCTTTTGGTTGATCACTTCAGACGACACTGATCGGCGGTTCCAGAGATGAGTATGCCTACGACAATCAATTGGTCGGTCAGTGAATTTTTTGATCGAATTATGGATCATCAAAGTTTTAGACCCTCATATCCTTTTATGGGATATAACTTTAATGTATCTTTTTTTTTTTTTTTTTACTTATAAGATCACCTAAAATTTTACTCGATCCTACCTAAAATGTGTATTTATCCTGAAATACCCACAAAAGTTCATAAGCATTTTATCAAAGTGAGATACAAGATCATGAATATATAAAGGAACATATGTCTTCCCATCGGTAAAGGAAGAAGGAGCCATTTCCTAATGAACGGAACTTCGCTATCTTTGGATAGAGGAATCGGGCCCATAAAGGCATATCATATACTTTCGTGTCGGTACCGTTTGACAAACATATTTACAAAGTCCTAATCACCTGCCCCGAGTTGAAGACTCATGCTTTTCACTCCAAAGTTTTCTACCGATCTGGCCCCCCTTCTTTCGTATGACGACTTTGTAATTTCATTGATGTTCGTCAGATGGCGTGCTACACTTTGGTCAATCCACTTTACATCGTCACAAGCTCATATAGAGATCAAGCTTTTGTAATTTTGCCAGAGTGTTAATTTGTCTCCCTTGGGCTGCGTTGCGCAAGTCACGTGTCATTATCGACTATCTGAAAATGAGACAGGAAGGCTTTATTTTATGATGACTTGCGTTATGACGGTGGGACACCTCGAGGTAAAGACTTACCTTGATGGTTGATTTCAAAATGTTGACGTTACTCATTGAGATTTCCCCAGTCATTCCCCCATCTCATTGTCTTGGCCCAACTTGGTGGTCTGAACATTAGATGGTCATGATCAAGAACAAGGTCGTGACCGCCCAGACAAGTAGGTTAATCGCTAGGTCGGACAACTCGCGATCTAAAGTGGGACTTTGAATAAGCCACAAAGGGATATCATTCCCAAATCCATCCTTAGATCATTCGGCTACTCTGTAGTTGGTATTATTTTTGCATATATCGTCTATTTTTTCTCAACGTTATTGTTGATGGTGAGTTGATCGGTCTATATTATTGTTGAAGACGAGTTAATATAGAGAGTAATAGAGTTCGAACTTTATGTGGTAAGATTATGAATAGTAGTAATACACTAAAAAGTTTAGTTGGGGGTGTTTTATTGGACAAAGGAACATGACTAGAAAAATCGTTTGGAGGGTCGGCCATGCCTCCCTTTCTTTTGGCTGGAATAATTGAGTTAAATAGATCATTAAGCTTGAGCTTTGGATGTTAGTGCTGCCCAAAGCGTCATAATGATTCTGAATATATAAGGGGAGATTCACTGAAAATCTTCGATGGTCGCCCTTTTTCTAACGCCATTTTGTTGACATTCGATATCAACCATAATTAATGAATGAATTGAAGGCTTAATTAAAGGGATCAAGTATAACAGTTTAACCGTTTTGGAGAATATAAAACCAATTAATTGCTAATGAATAGGAAGTACGCATAAAAATAGGTTAATATAATAGGTAAGAAAGATCGTCAAACAGTATGGAGAGATCGACCTAACGACTAATATAAGAGAAAAATGCAGAATGATATGATAGTATATCCCCCTATACATAATTCTTGAATGCGCTGAGCCTACGTGGCTGCTTCTAGTGCTTCGGAATCCTACTTGGCAAAGAATCATGCTTAGTAATTAGGTTTGGACAAATAATATTGATATATTAATAATTAATAATCTAGGTTCGGACATTCCATAAATATTATTTAGCTAACTTAGGTATTTTAATATCACGTGTACTAATATAACCCTTTAATTCTTTGTAATTTTACATAGTGAGACACTAAGTGACTAATATATCTCTGACTTTTGATTTGTTTCCTTCAATTAGCTATTGAATTATAAATGCATTTTAAAAGTTGTAACTTTTGTATTTCTTATCGGTTTTACATATATAATATATCAAATTAATCATCTTTTGATGATCTTCGATTTGACATCAATATTGTATATATGAAATAAATAAATTATATTTATTTTTATAATAATAGAAAATAATAATATTTATTAAAATTCATTAGAAAAATAAAATTATTTCTCAATTCATATATATATGTTTAATGTAGTTATATGTTGTAAGTTAAAAAATATTATAACATAACATAGGTAAGTCACACAAATAAAAAATGTAAAGCTTTGACTGAAACAACTCTTCGTTTCTTTGAGGGGGACTGTTGCAGTAGGGGAACGGATAGGAATTCCCGGTGCAGGCCAACTCGACTCGGAATAGAAATAGCCTAACAAATGAAGCAAAGTGGTAGAACGAAGCGAAGTGAAGCCATACTAAATTTGTAATAATATATATATATATATATTAATAAAATGTATTTAAATTTTTTCAACTATTTTTTTTAATTAATTTTAGATTTTGATTTGGAAGCACCCGTGTAATACACGTGCGTTGTACTAGTTATTAATGGATTCTTGATATGTTTTGAGAAGCCTCGATGCTCAAATTTATACACGTGTAAAGTAGGAAAATAATGATAGATGTGTGCCAACTAGGGGTGCGAGTGGATGACACGTGTCTCCCTGCAAAAAAATCGACTTTTGATAAAGGGACTGATAGATCACGTTTTATATATTTAATAGTGTATCTTTTATACACATAATTTATTTACACGTTTATTGTTTTCGACCTATTTGTTATTTGGATGGATTCATATACATTGGTATTTTGTTTGTTCTATTTTTCAGTTAATGGGCCAAAATATTACTAGGGATTGGGCCAATGGTGAAAGAGGTGATTTAGGCCCAATGTTGCAATTGATTGATGTCTTGTGGCGTGATTTATTGGAGGAGCCCAAAAGAAATTAATTATATAATTTAGAGGAATTTGCACCCCTTACTTTACAATCCTAATTATATTACAATTCTACACTCATTATAATAATATTTATAATTGTACCAAAATAAGCCTAAAATATTGCAAATATACCT